GGTGTTGCCCCTCTGGCCCTAAGACAACAGAACTGTTTTGTGTGGTTTTGCCAAGGTAAATTGTCTGCAATAATATGTGAGGTGTGCTGCAGGCCACTGGAGGGGTGTTTTCTAGTAGGCTGGTGTGAAGCCTCTTCAGATACACTGCATGGGACCAACAAGGCCCAAACAGGGTCAGATTGATATGACTGCCCATGAGGACTCTTGATTAAACTCAGGCTGATTATGTGGCAAAGGAGTAAGCAATGTGGACCATCAGGATGGTCTCAGGCTCATCTTTTGGTGTTCTCCTGCTCAGCAATGCAGACAAACTCTTTTTGCTGGGTTAGCCATGTATTATGTGCAGATAAAAGAGGCATTGTGCCTTTTGCACCTTGTACATACAGCTTCCTCCTTTTGCTCCCAACCTTTAAGAAACTGAAATGCAACATGGCAAATTCAGGTCTGGGGAAAGAGTTTGAAGGAAAACCCGCATTACTCCTCCACTCATCAAATTCCTCATCTTCTTGAACATGAACCACAATAAAACAAATATTATAACAAAGGGGACACTACATTAGCATCCTTAGTGAGTGCGCCAGACATGGGGTAAGAGACATCTGACCAGACACAGCCATCATCATGTCCCCTTGTATTTGAGCTAGTCATGTCCAGCTTACCTTGAAGGCAACATAGAAAGAGGGACACTGACACACATTTTCTCTGACATGCAGTGTTGAGACAAGGTAGATGAACTGCTCTCCAAGAAACTCTCCAAGCCAAAGACATCTGATTACTGATGAAGGCGAGAAGAATCCATGTCCAGAAGGAACCAAGAACCCTTACATTTACAACATTGCCTCAACACAAGCACTTAAAATAACTCTTAGGCACCCAAGACACTCCATTACATGGATGAAGGTGGAATGGGTGAGCCTGTGGAGTATATGCAGAAGCAGGGTGTGCTAGACTTGAGATGCAGTGAAGGACATTAAGCAACAGAGGAAATGTGCAGGGTTAAACCAGCATCTCTATGCAAAGAACAATACATTGTCTGAGCAAAAGCTTTCCAGCATCAAGGGGCAGTAAACAAGCTGCAGGAAGAAAAGTTGTGGCAACGGCACTATGTAAGTAGAAAGAATAATACACTGCTTTCCTGTTGGCAGGAGTCATATATTTCCCTTTCTGGGCATGGGTGAAAGGCAGGTCCCACAACTCCAGCATCTACCTCGCCATGCATGGCTGGTTGGGAAATCCCAATCTCTTGGCAAAGGCATTTTGTAGCTGTGATGGCTCATGGAAAGTCAACTGACCTGTTCAAACCCACTCTGAACCTCTGAAAAATGAGCACTGGCTGCCAGGGCGAGACGCTCTGGAACTCGTGTTTGCAGGATCCAGCCCTAGGAGCGGGGCAGAATTCAACAAAATGCAACATAATTAACTTCAGATGTACCTGTCAAGATGTCACAGACACAGTCCTGGAGAGGAGCAGCATATTATTTGTTTCTCATAATGTAGCAATTATCTTGTTGTAAGAGGGGCTCTCTCCAGTGCTCCCTTGCTGCCTTTTGTTTTCCTTCCACATTGATTCACACATTATTTAACTTTTGACTTGGACACAGCAGGTTAAAGCATTTAACAGCTTGGCTGCTTGCTCAGACAGAGCTGAGAGAGGGAGGGGAGGAGGAGGAGGTGACAATTTTTTGCCTTACTTTTTCAAGGTTTCTGTCCTACATTTTTCTAAGGGAGAGACGAAAGAGAAGGGAAGGGGAGGGGGGAGTGGGAAATGGCATTCCACAAAGACGGAGTCACATTTTCCAGGATTATAACATGCTCTCTGCTGTCCCCAGCTTTCACTGGGAGATGCATTCCTGCTCCACAGTGGAGAAAAGGTCAGTGGTAAAAATTTCGCAGGAACTCCATCATTGTCCTCGTGGGACACGTTCATCAGGAGGAGAGAGTCAGGCGTCGTGCTCTGTCGACAGAAATCCACATCACAAAACATATTACTGGGGGAAGGTGGGGAACAGAGACCCACAGCCAGATAGAGCCCATGACTTCATTTTGCTGGATTATTTCCCCCTGGCTCGCTGGATACCTGTGGAGCCAGAGGGCATGGACAGAGAGATGTTTTGCTGAACAAATGAGATAAAGGCAGGAGAGAGAAAACAGGATGGATGTGATTTAAAGTGCTGGAAAAGCCTCTGCCCCAGGGGAAAATTAACTTTTGGTTTATATAAAGGAAGGTATAACTCTGTGAGCCACTGCCAATTATGGATCTACCCGAGCTTGTCCAAAGCAATTGTAGCAGGCAGGGCCAGCATTGGCCCTTTGGTAGTCACTAAACAGAGGGAGATTTTAAATGTGGAGTAAAGTTCATAACTGCAATAATAACTCAATCTCTTGAATTCAGAATGAGAATGGATGACAAAGTGGTTGAGCTTTGCTTGGAAGCACATGTGGATGTGCAGCAAGGGGCTGATAAGGAGAAACATGAAGCATATCTTCTCCAAGGAGGGTTGTTGGTGCTGGTGAAAATGCCTCTTCCTGTTTAAACTGATGTACTCAAGGGAATTTCTCTGAGATAACAGCT